TAATTATGTAACATGTTGGAGTCATTATAAAACCAAGGCCACTCATAGAATAGTGCTAATCTTAGAACAGTGTCTCAGAAGGCATTCTTAGCAAGGCATTATACAACTCTTTCTATCCTAATCTTGAGTGATACAGACCTATAAAAACCTCTGGGAGTCAGATCCCTTAATGGACATCAGTTTGAAAGTAAATGGGTGGGGCAAAGCCAGCCTCTCTGGACCTCTCTGGATGCGAGCACCCAAGGCCCCCACTGAGCCTCCCCTCATGCCCACGGCCCAGGAACCTTTCAGTGTGAGAGCGCCATTCCCCTCCCACCAAGACTACAGGCTGAGCTTCTGGGCCACAGGCCTCAGGGTCCAGGCACCTGATGTACAGGACTGTGCCCCTGTCCACACCCACTCAACTCCTTCCCTGAGGGAAACCGCGCACCCTGAGGCAATCTCCTTGTGGCCTGGGAAGGGGAGGAGGACAGGAGGGAGCCCTTGCTGGGACCTGCAGAGCCGGCGTCCTCCAAGCCCAGCAGATCTCCACAGAGGCTGTGCTGACTGTGGCAGGAAACCAGCCATCGACTTCCTTCTCTTCCTGGAGCTTTTCAAAGAGGACAGTGATTCCCAGCTTGCATCTGGAGAAGTGGGCTGAGCACCTAGGGTGTCCCTGGAAGAAGAGGCATGGCTTCCTGGGTTGGACGCCAGGGCACACACCGACGCATGTATGCACAAGTGCACGCACACACACAGGTGTGTGGATACACTCACACACATTCACAACTGTCCTCATGTGGGGCTACTGTAAATGTAATCAAAATGGAAAACACTGTATTTCTAATACTATTCAAGAATGAGATAAGGAAACACAGTTGATTCTCATAACTAGAGAGCTACAAATCTTAACACGCCATGGTGCTCCCGGAGCCGGGTGTAAGATGAGTGCAACTTAGTGAAATGATGGTGTTTTGCTTACTTTTAGGTCCCAGAGAGTTATCACCTGAAGGACACCTCTGCCCAGCCTCAGACAACGACTGAGTCTTCCCCCATGCTATACAACCGTAACCTGCTTTGTTCCTGAAGAGTAAATTCTGCCTAGCACTTAATGAAAAAGACATGTGTGACCAAATACAGCGTGTAATATGAGGTGCCTTTCGTACTTCCTCCCTAAAAACAATGCCAGAGTAACCTCAGAAGGAGGCTGGGGAATTGGACCTGCACGGCCCCTGGTCGGGTAGTGGAGTGCAGCTGTCTGCCTTCCAGAGGGCCTCCAGTGCTGCATCTCCCTCTGGTCTGGTCCTGAGCCTCGCAGCACAGCAATACCAGTGCAGATGCCCAGGCACACTCACACATGCACACACAATACACATGCACATGCACAAGGCCCACATGTTGACACAATTCCATGTATACCTGCATGTGAAGGACACACAAAGACACAGCCCTCCTAAACAACAGACGACCATGGCACACCCACAGAGGATACCTAACATGCACCTGCACATGTTTTACATATGTATACACATCACACAAGCCTATGTACACACGTATGTGCAAGACACGCTCACAAGCCTCCAACACTAAGAGTTGGACATACCCATAGCACACCTGGGCATTCTTGCATACGCAGCCCTCCTGGACCAACACAGAAGCACACAGTCAGGGCACCTCACTCACCCTTGGTCCATGCACACTGTGCACACACAAAGTACACACATTCATGCACACATACTCCTGCCTGCCTCTCACTGCTAAGCCTAGGAGGTAGGGATGTAGCGAAAGAGGACCAGGGGGAACCAAGGGAACAGTGCAGCAGAAGGGGGAGGGAGAAGCTCACTTCCCAGGAGAACAGGAAATCTCCTTCCCAAAGCCAGTTCTGTCCTGAACCGAAATTCCTCTCGGTGGCCCGGAGAACTGACCCTTCCGTCATTTAAGTACAGTGACCCCAGGATGTGGTAACTCAGGGGAGGATTTCCAGTGAGTTCCCCGAGGGCCACATGAACTGTTCCTCAAGTCATTTTTAGGGCGCAATGAAGACCATGGCTTGGGCTTCAGATTCATGTGGAGAAAATATTTATTAGAACAGGAGGGCAAAACCTAGACAGAGAGATGGCATCATTGTCAGGAAGAAACACAGACGAAAAACCCTTGAACATTTACAGAACCATTGCCTGCTATCTACATCCCTGGCTGTGAATCTGCAGGATCTATTTAATGGCTAAATTCTGGTCCCTTTACACTTGGGGGAAAGGGAGGCATCAGTCGTTTCTTCTGAAGACCCTTCAGACCTGACCTGGCGGTGTGTAGCGTTATATTAGTTATTCTGTGGCTCTGGGGTATGGTTATGTTGCGCATGACCTACTATTTCTGTAAGCACTGGGCTCCAATTCTGTGTGTTCTCTGGTACCTGGTGAGGCTTGATCGCTGGCTAAAGCACCACCCACACTCCCTGCAAACATAGGGTTTCTCTCCTGTGTGTTTTCTCTTGTGCTGAGTGAGGTTTGATTGAGCACTAAAGCCCCGTCCACAGTCCCTGCAAACATAGGGCTTCTCTCCTGTGTGTGTTCTCTGGTGACTGGTGAGGCGTGATCATAAACTAAAGCACCACCCACAGTCATTGCAAACATACGGCTTCTCACCTGTGTGAGTTCTCTTGCGCTAGTTGAAATTTGATTGAAAAGTAAAGCCCCGCCCACAGTCGCTGCAAACATAGGGCTTCTCACCTGTGTGAGTTCTCTTGCGCTCAGTGAGGTTTGATTGAAAAGTAAAGCCATGCCCACAGTCCCTGCAAACATAGGGCTTCTCTCCTGTGTGTGTTCTCCGGTGCCTGATGAAGAGTGATTGATAAAGAAAGCCCCGCCCACAGTCCCCTCAAGCAAAGCGACTGTCCCCTGCTTGTGAAGGCTGGTTCCTGCTGAGCTCCCATGTGTCACTGGGGCCTTACACAAACTCTCCACTCATCATAGTTGCAATTTGTGAGCTTCCCACCCCCATGGGTAGGGTCTGGCCTGTGCTGAGCCCCTGCCCAGTCATCCCCTCACTCTCCCCAGACCTCCTCATCTGTCCCTCGGGAGGGCTGGGTGTATCCCTTGAAGTCCCACTCTCCCTTGTCCTTTGGGGCTCAGGGCTCGGTCTCCCTTGGGCCTCTCCCTCTGCAGCTCCATCATTCCAGCCATGAGGAAGGGACTGCTGCTGTTCCCAGAGGAGATCCCCTGGACAGGCATCTTCTCCTGGGAGTGTGTTGCTTGTAGCTGTTACCCAGAGGATCTGAGAGAGGTGACCGTGGTTTATATAGCCACTGAGGAATTTCTGAATGGAGAAGGCCAGAGAGCGCAAGGGACACAGGTGGATCTCTGCCTTTCGTTCTGCTGAAAGAAGTTCCTGCTCAGAGTGCAGGTCCTCACACTCCCTCAGGCCTGACAGCAACACCCAGCCCTCCCCACCCCACTGAGGACATTCCCCACACAGCTCTTTCTACTCAGTGCTGTCCCCACCAACACCGTCTCCACTAAGCGATATCTCCAAAAGCACTGACCCCACAGGCACTGTTCACACCCAGAGCTGTCTGCACCAAGCACTGTCCCTAGTAAGTGCTATCCCCAACAAGCACTGTCCCCACCAGTCTTGGCCCATAGTGCCTCTCCCATGCCAATTTTTAACAAAATCCACAATGTCAGCCTCAGTAGCCTTTCTGACATGGCAAGCAGTCCAGGGCACTCCCTGGGCAGACCTGGGACCCAAGGACCTGCATGGGCCCCCGCCCAGAACACAACCATCTCCTACGTCATTCCTTGTCTCCCCTGGCAGCCCTCTGCACAGGTCCCTCACATCCTGGACCCGTTTCCTGACTCCTGCTCTGTTGCTGATCTATCCCATTGAGAACTGCCAGAGTTGATGACTTAGGTAATGTTGTCCCCATTGGATTCTTCAGGGAGAGGGTACAGGGACCCATCCCAGTCACCCCCTTGGAGTGGTATAGCTATGGGAGGTTGTGCTGGGCTGTACCTGAGAGCAGTGCCGAGATAGAGAATTGTGTGCAATGTGACACACATGATGATTCCCTTTTGCCCCAGGTCGCCATGAGGAAGCAGGATTCAAACAGGACAGGCTCAGAGTCTCTACACTCATAACCAATGGGCTCAGTGTTCCATGGCCACAACATGACCAGTAATCTCTTCTCTGCGGGGCTCCCTAAATCGTCAGGTGAAGGTACATCCTCCCTGGGCCTCACAATCTGTGCCTGTCAGACAGCTTCTCTCTGTCACCTACCCTCACCTGCCACCTTCTCAGCTGGAGACTGAAGCAGCCTCTTACAACTTTAGCTCTGGGGGCTAATTTCCAAACATGCCAAAGCATGAACCCGGGACATAGAATGGACAGCTGTACAACTGTTTGCACCCACGTGACTCGGCAGGAGTCACAGGCCCCTCAGGTCCAATCCTGGCCTCTTTCCCACCTCTCAGCAGTTACACAAAGTGCTGCCCACGTGTGGAGCCCTCTGCCCACAGACAACAAAGCCCCTTCACTGTTCCCTGCCGGGACAGCCCTGCCCGGCCTGGTGCACATGTGATCCTGGCCCACCAGACTCCTGCATACTCTTCCCTGGGGGCATTCTTCAGAGGCTCAGCCACAGCCCCAGCTGAGTACATACTCGCACAAGTGCACGTGTCCCCGTGCAAGAGCTAGGTACCAGCGGCACTCATTAGGGCTTTTGTCTGCTTTGTTGTGGGTTTCCAGGTCCTGACACAGAGTAGGAATGCAGGTGACAGCTAGTTGGCACAAGAGACAGTCTGCGGCTCATGCACACTATTTGGGAATTGAAGAGAGTGGGGAAAAAAAAGAAGCACTGCATGGACCAGGAGAATCCAGGTCTGTGAGGGAGCTACCTGGCTGAGAACTTCTACTTGGGCTCCAACCATCCCTTACCACATTTAGTAGAAATTTGTGCACTACATGCTTAAAAAACAGACTCCAAACAAACATTCCGATAGATAAAATCTTTCTAAGCATCAAAAGCATGCAAATCCCATCCTTCCCTTTCAAAGTCAGGGATCAGAAATTTCACTGAAGGTGGACTGCACCTCAAGTTCCTTATGAGTGGAAGTGTGGGAATTTCCAGGGAGAAGCTTCCTCCTTTCATGCGAGGAAGCCCAGGGGTGCCTACCTCTCCCATCCGCGTGCTGTTTCTTCCAATTGCTGCTGCATGTGAGGCCCAGCTCCTGGCCATACTCGTTCCTGTACCAGACCAATAACTCTGTTCCAGGTGTGATGGCCTTGCAGGTGCGGTAGAAGATCTGCCCGTGGTACTGAAAGGCCACAAGGTTCTGCTCCTCCTCAATGCAGGCACAGTTCATGTACCTGGGGTTCAGAGTGGAAAGGAAGGAAATAGCTGATCCCTTTCGTGTCCCCATCACATCAGTGTCCATCCATCCCTGGAGTGGTAGACACCTCCCTTTTCTGGCACCGCCCCTACTCCTGGTGAAACCTACAGTTCTTACCTTGGTCTCTTCCACAGGGCCTATGACCACTTAGGTCTGAGTCCTCCAGTTCTCCCCCACCTAAGTACCCAGTGTTCCACGCCCCATCCTGGACTTCAAAAACACATAGCTGTGCATAAAACTCAGGGATCCTTTGCATTTCTAAAGTGTAAATCAGTGTGGTGTTTCCCTTGGAACTTAGAGCTAGGCAAGGACTCTGCTTCTGGGGTGGCCTCTACCAGGCCACCCTGGCCCAAGTCATCTTGGGAAATTCCCCCATCACCTGCCCAGGGAGGTTGCCTCCTCTCCCACATGAATTTAAGCAATCCTGTCTGCCTTAGTACCATGACTCAGAATGGCATCAGTGTGTCCCTATCCCCTAGCCTCTCTGCTGAAGCAAAAGCCCCTCTCTCAAATCACTTAGGCAGTCAGCATAGGGACCCCTTACACTTGTGCAGTCTCCTTCTCCCCAGGCTCAGGACTATTTTCAGAGTCTCTAACCCCTCTCAGCCTAAAGGTCCCTTGCTTTTACTTCCCTTCCTGCTCTGTACTTTTTGAAGAAACACCAAATTACAGTGAAATATTCCTGCAGTAAAACCTCCCATGTGCTCTGCCTCAGGCCCTCTACAGCAACAGAGACTCTGGTCAGAAGGGAAGTCCACTTCCTAAGCGGGAGGGTAGCAATCAGGGATGAGAAGGGAAGGAATCGGGCTAGTGAGGGTCAGATGTCCTTGTGGAACCAGGAAGCCTGGTGTCCTCACCTCATCCAGTTGGCGTGGGATGTGCCCTTGCCATCCACGTACTTGTAGCTTTGTCTCCCTTCAGTAATCTAAGTTTTGGGAAAAGGAGTTACTGTCCTCATTTGGGAGGGACGAAAGCTGCCAGGTGTACCCGTGGCTACTGTCACCCCCTCCCTTCATGCTGCTGCAGCCTGCCACCCCAGCATCTGCAGACAGGCGAGGACGCCACAGAGGCTGTATCTACTCCATTTCTGTGCAGCCCTGCCCCACTCAGCATCTTATCCTGCACCAGGGATTTTGTCGTCTTCCAAGGCAACTAGGACACAGAGCTGAGCAGCTCAACCAAGCCCGTGGAGCAGAGGGACACTGGAGGGGAGCAGGGTGCCAGGAGACAGGGAAGGAAGACCCCTCACCATCCAGGCATAACCACTGTGGCCCGCCTCTTCCTCCTCTGTGATCTGACCCTCGTAGGGGCCAAAGTGCACATCCACAGGCAGGGTGGAGTTCCCATTCCAGACTCTGAGCCCAGTCCCTGGGATGTTCGAAGGTCCTATCTTCAGCCCAGGGGGCAGAGTGAGCATTGCATGGTCCTCAAGCCCCACATCCACCACGCTGTCCTTCATGAACGTAGGGGGCCCATGAGTGGGACAGCTGTCGATAAAGTTGGTCTTGCACTTCTCACAATCTGAAGGAAGCATGGTAGGGATTAGGAACCATATAATCCATGTGTATGCCTCACTATGGAGAGCTCTGGAGTGAGCCCACCCCCCTCCCTCTGCCCTCCATTCTCCACTGCTTGTGCCTAGAGTGATTGGTGCCTTGAGCCTCAAGTGACTGCATGCACACCTAACTGTGCCTTGTCCTTCGGGATCAGGCCAAGAGGGTCACTTACACAGGAAGTCGTCGTCCTGGGGCTCGCTGACCTCTTCATATGCAGGGCCATTACCTTGTCGCAGGGTGTACAACTTCTGCTCAACAACCTTTCTCCTGGGTTCTAAGAGGGAAGGACAGAAGAAGACTGAAGTGTGTCATACGGGGTGTCTGTCCCTGTATCATCAGAAACCGTGAAATATCTTTGCATCCCACTGTCACGCATGCTGACCCATCCTCTAAATCCCTGCATAACCCGCAGGTCACATTTCTAGCTCTCAAGGGTCACATGTAGCCCACAGGGCACGAATATCTCGTCAGGCAGCACTAAGGATGTGCAGAGCTATTGCCACAGATGACTGTGGGGGACAGCGTGCAAGCAGGCATCCTTTATTCTATATCATCCTTACTGCTCTCTGGTGACAGGTGGGCTATGGGCTCTTACGCTTATTCACTGATTGGCATTTAGAAGCTCAGAGAGTCTATGAGAAGCACTCAAGTCCCCAGGGGCCCTATGTGGCTGAGACCCAAGTGTGTTGGAAGCCAAATTCCCACAAGCCGCTCACACTGCCCAGCAGGCGGCCACGCAGGCCTGTCCAGCATGAGGCTCACCCACCCAAAGTCCACATCACAGCTCTGGAGCATCCACAACATGCTTTCTAGGTGGCCTAGCCTTACTTCCAAGCTGACTTGCGAGTCCCTGCCCTCACCTGGCCACCGAGGCGACCATTCTGCATCAGAATCCTCAGATTCGTCCAGTGGGGCTTGGCTGGTTCGTTGCAGCAAAGCTGGCCACTGGGCTCTCAGACCTGGGAAGGACCCAAATCTTCTGTGTGAAGGGGAAGGACATCTTGGGAGGAGGGACAGAGGCACTGGCCATGGAAAGACACAAAGGACAGGGGGCTGCGGAGCGGAGACAGCCTCGGTGCGTGGCTAGCACAGCTCTCAGCTTGCCCTGAGCCCAAGAACAGAGCTTTCCTGGAGCCTTGACTCCTCAAGAGAGGGGGCTGCACACTACCATCACACAGAACTGGGAGACAGGAGCCTGCAGGGAGGCCTGCTTTCGTGCCCTAGTCTGGGCGGCACACAATCTCTCCTCACCTACAGAGAGCATCTCGCTGCAGTTGTTTCTCACGCTGCGGTAGGGTATTTGCTGAAACTCTCCCGTGTTGGCCCACTGTTCCTTGGAGACCTATCTGGAAATGTCCTTGGAAGCATCTGTGACCTGGAGAAAAGAGGCTCCGTGTCATCTGCTAGCACAGGGCACAGATGGAGGCTCCTCTTTCTGTCAAGTTGGCTGCAAGGCCCTGCCAGGCCCGGTTGTCTTTGGGGAAGCCGACTGTCCCCCTTTCCACCTGCCTGAGACCTGGTAGCATGGATGGCCCAGCTCTCTTTGGTGTTCACTGTGAAAGGAGGCCAGGTCTCCCTGGGATTCGGCGCCTCATCCCATCAGCCCGACCCTCTGTCCCGGTGCCACCGTTGGGTGGCCTGGCCCCATCTTTCCCTGTGCACATCTACCTTGGGCCTCTGTCTGGCTCCTGATGAGTCCTCCTTTGAGTCCTCTGAGGAACTGTGGGCATTCATGGGGCCTGAATACTGATCAGGACAGGGCAAGGCAGGTCCTGCAGAAGGAAGAGCTGGGGGCCGGATTCCAGCTGTGTCCACAGAAGGATCAGGGGACCTCAGAGGTGACCGCTGAGACTCTGGCAACTGAGATCTGCAAGGGAGGGATGCATTCAGGTTTCACTGTTCATGCAGGCAGAGGGAGCAAAGGTGCAAGCCCCAAAGTTAGGCCTTGGCCTGAAAAAGCACTAAGCCTGACCTGGCCTCTAACCTTAACCATACCTATGCTAACCCCAAAACTATCTTAGCCCTTGCCTAAAACCTAACCTAAACTAAACCTAGAACTCAGCACAACCATATGTACTAGGTCTCATCTAACCCCAACCTTAACCCTCTCCATACCTCTAACATAATCTGATCCCCGGGCCAAACAGAACCTCAACCTTCATTGTTGCCCCAACCCTAAACCTTACCACAAACTAATCTAAAGTCTTTCCCAAAGCTGAACACAATCCCAACCCCAGCTCCCCTAGACTTCATCCAATCCTAACTCAAACTCTACCCCAACTGCAAACTGCACCCAGCACTGACTTAAGCTAACCCTTACCTCAATGGTAACCTCAACCCCAGCCCTAGCCCTGACACGCTTCTCCATAATGGTTCTAACCCCACTAAATAGTAGGGGTGTTCAGAGGTCCTGAAAGTTTCTGATCTGGGGTCTCTGCCTGGGAACTCTGAGTTGGGGTGCAGTGTGCAGGCTTGGGGGCCTGCAGTCAGGGTCAAATGCGTTTCCAGATCATGATATGGGGGAGGTGCACTGTGGCTGAGGCTGTATCTAATGCCAAGGATCTCTGGATTCGCAGGTTGGGGTGTGGGATCCCTGTGCTGATGGAATCGGGGTCCCTGGCCTGACATGGGTTGCTCTGGGGGCCCGAAAATGGGGACACGGGCTAAGTCTGGGTCTCCTCAGTACGACCTTGGGCTCCCTCAGCGGAAGGCATGTGGTTTCCGGATGGGGCGATGTGTAGGCCCCTTTGGGACTGGGCTCTTCATGTGCAGGGTATTTGGGGATCCCCAGACTGAGGGTGCTGGACATTTTGGGTGGGAGATATTTGGGGTGAATGTGCTGCCAGAATTGCAGTTTGTCTGGGTTAGGGACCTGGAGAGCCGGGCGCTGCTGCTCACAGATTTGGGGTTCCTCCTGGGGAGCATTTGGGGTAACTGGACTGAGGGACTTGAGCTCCTCGCATGGAGATGCTTGGCAATCCTCACATTGAGGGAAGTTCAGTCTCCGGACGAGCGTGTGTGGGGTCCACAGGACATGATTGGGGTCGTTTGGGCTGAAGAAGGTTGGGGCCAAGGAGAGGAGGTTAGCTGCCCTGGAGTCGACCCTGGACCCTGGGGTCTTGAGGTCCCCTGCCAGATGCAGAATTGGATGCCGCGGGGTGGCAGGGTTGAGTTCTCTTGCGGTGAGGAATTGAAGGCTGGGTGAGGTAGAGACTGAGACAGGCGGGTCTCGCTCCGCGCTGGGAGACTTCTCACTTACCACCGAGCCGGTCCTGTCTGGGTGCGGCCTCTTTCCCACACTGCTGGACCGGGACAACACAGTCCTCCAGAAGTCACTTAGCTGGAGTGAGTGGACGCAGCCACTCGGTGTAGAGATAAAAGAGGCTGGCAAGCTTAGGGAAGCGCAGGGCTGGCAGTTGGATCCTTGCACCACGTGGCGCACACTGCTCTGCGCGGTAGTCCCGCCACGGGGCGGGCGGAAATGGCCCCAGAGTCCGGGCTTGGTGGTGCACTCCTGTAATCCCGGCACTGAGGAGGCAGAAAGCAGGAGGATCACCTTTATGCTGAGCTGCTTACTGAGACTGTGCAACAACCAAATGCATTAAAAAAAATAGTAATTACAAAAGAAAAGAAAAATGGCTGCTAGGAGACCCCAGTGGGGGCGTGGATGAGGGCAGAGCAAGGTCCTTCAGACCCCATGCCACCCCTGCAGGGCACCGAGGGTAGATTCTTCCAACTCACCTTTTTTTTTTTTGAATTTACTTTATATAAAATTAAAAAATGCACTATGTTCATAACTTTCATACATTTGACCAGTAGGAGAGCAATGAGGATTGTTGAGCATGTCACATATACACATATCAAAAAGTCTCATTGGATACCAAACCAGAATGAAGGATCAAGAACAGTGGTCTGAAACCTACTCATAGGATTTTAGGATTAAACAAATAACAAGCAGTGTGAAATTTCAGACCACAGCAGTGTTGAACACAGAAAAATGATAAATACAAGAGCTTGATTTTCACATGGAAACAGTAAAAGTTACAGTTTTTTTTATTATTTTTTAAAATGTATTTGGTTGATACAGGCCGCTCAGGCTCGTGGTGATCCTCCCGTTTCAGTCTCCCCAGCCTGCGCCTCTATGAACTACTCCTGGCCTGCTAAGTTCAACTCGGGGCGGAGTTTGCACACCATGTGGTACAGGAACCAAACTGTGGTCCCTGTTTCTGCCTAACCTTGCCTAAACCAGCGCGTTAGTCTGCTGAGCTGTCTCTCCTACCCAGTGCTTTTGTTTGTAATCCTCAATGTTGCATTCTGTCAAAGGTTTTCTGCATCTATTTACATGATTGCATGATGCTTCATTAGTGCCAATGGTATCAATTTCTTTTCTAAATTTTTATTTTATTTATTTACTTTTTTATGTTTTGTACCGGCTCTCGAATTCAGACCTTGTGCTTGCC